ATAAAGAATCGAAAATGTTACTTAATTCCTTTTTAAATTCTAATATTTTTGATTCGTATAACTCCAATAAGGAAATATCTGCTTCATCCACTGTAGAATTTACCTTATTTTCAAACTTTCTGATACTGCATTTTAAACTTTTTTGTTAGCTTTAATTGCTTTCAATTCACTCATCATGAACAAATAAATAATTTATCACTTACCGTGATTGCAGATTTCTCGACAGCAACACCGGAAATGAACGATGACACAGTATTCAATCTTAATTGCGTAATCCACACGAAAACGAAAGCATTCCAAACACTCTATATGAAGTTATGCGTAATACAACCAAACGAAAGTATTCTAAATGTTCTAAAAAGTTAATTTTAGCAACGATATCTTTTACCTGTGGCTCGACGGGCCATAAAGTGTTCATGCGATGCGTGCGTTGTTATACAACAATTTCAAATTAACTAGAAGTGGACTGTACTAAATATTTTATTCGACAACTTTAATCAAATGCGTGCCATCTTTCAAGCGATGACTTACTACTAACAACAACAGCAATAAAAAATAAAACTGAGTAAGCGTTTACAGGGTTGCTGTAATGAACATCTGCGCCATGCAAGGCGCCAAGAAGAGAAAAAATGACGTAATCTTACAGTTAAATAGTCTTAATGACTTAACACTGAGCATTGCAAGACTGTGGGAGGTTGTGTCTCCAGATACTTTAAAACCTGCTTGGCATAATTTATGGCCAGCTATCATATTTCATGGTGAGGAAGATGAAGATGATAGCTGCGAATGTGAAGGTATTCAGATATCACAAATCAAAGGTTAAATTTTCCAATTTAATGGATTTTTTAAAGAAATGTGGAGAAGCGGTAATAAATAAAGACAATATAACAGAAGTTTTTCATTGTGATAACAATGCCTCAATTATCAATAAGTTAATGGACGGCAACATCTGTAGTATGGTTTTAGATCTAGATACCACTACCCATAGTGAAGAAAGTGATAGAGAAGTTATTAAAAACGAAAAATTTTTTATTCACAAGTTAGTCGGAATTCTCAACACAGCAATTACAGGACTTGAACAATGGAATGGCTAACTGAATACGAAATTATGTACAGAATTAAAGAGAAAAGATTATCATAACTAGAAAATATTATCATATATTATCATAAAAAAGCAAACAACTTACATTGAAAGAAATGTTTAATAAAGTAAACAAATAAATATTAAGCTTTTTTTTTGGTTAATTTTTTTCCTCTTTAGATTATAAGTGCTTAATTATTTCATAAATCACGACTTCATATTTTTAATTTTATAATTTCTAATGCTATCTTAGTAGATTTACAATGATGATCTGGAATCTGGAAAAATCCAGAATCGCAGATGTCCCGAGGAGTCCAGATCTCAGACTTCGTACTGCCTAATGTATTTTGGCTGCTCTCAGTCAAAATGATTTAAATAAATGGCTAAAGTTGCATAAGATTCCCGAATTCGCATCTCATTCTTGTGTGAATATGCCTATCATGACTCCCGAGCCAAGTGAATCTAATACAACTTGTCTGTTAAGTTTTGAAAAATCCGAAATCACCAAAGTCCTGATCTCAAACTTTGTGCTGTAATATATAGAATTAATAAAAAACATGCAATAAAGTTCTCAGCTCAAAATAATAATTCAGCTTAAAGTTTATTCCAGAAATCTAGAAAGTAACTTAGTAGTCCTTCCTTGTTTCATTGACTAGGCAGGAAGAGATGGATGAGGCAAAGAATGTTTTACTTCTTGTTTCGGATCCTCTTGAACTGTTGAAGATATCTCCAGGGAAAAAACTTTCTGAATGGGTCGTACCATTTCTCCATAAGCTGTTCAGCATCCTTCCACCACAGAAACCTTAGATGTCTTTCATAGTGTTCCACAGAAATTTCTAAAAACACTTTCCTTATATTTGAAATAATACCTGTCCTCCACTCTCTAAATTTAAGCAGTACTGCTGGAAGCAACTGTAAGAAAATTTGGTCCTTTGCTAAGTAGTCATTTAGGGATGAAAGTGTTTTCTTTTTACACGATACATCAAATAATGGTCTAACTGCTGTCGAGGAATTTTCTTTAAAAACTGGTTTGTGGAAGGTAGTGTATTTCCCCCCTCTGCTGCATTATTTGGCACTTCTTCTACCACTCTTGATTGTAACCAATATTGGATTATTGCATTATAGTCTTCAAATTTTCTTCTAATTTAAGTTTCTTTGTTGCTTGAGCAATCTGTATATTGACTGGTAAATTATCCCGATCGTCGATCATTGGCAAAGTGACTTCATTTCTACCACATTATTTTTTCTTATGAAAGTGATCCAATACAGCCATTTCCAATTCTACACTAAACTTGTTTTCAATTCTTTATCCCATAATTCAACCATCCAGGGTTCTTCCTGAAAACTAGCAATGTGCCTGCAAGTAACTTGCTGGTCCAAAACTTGGATTTCACAAAATTAATTCTTCTTTAATTATTCACCAGTACTTTATAGCATTTATGTTGCTTTCTAGAAAATAATACCCTCAAACATGACATGTTTAATTTTCACTTTGTTGAGCAATCACCCTCATTTGGTTCATGGTAGATTTAAGAATATATGATCTCTGTGTCAACTGATATTTTGCAGTTCTTTTCTTCTGCTTCAATGACACAAGCAGAGTTTGTATATGAACTGTTTGGTTTTGGTTAGAGAACGTTACATCTTCATCAATGTGAGAAGTCTTTGAATTAGTTTTCTTATCAACATCAAGCAGTTCAGGACATACTATAAGTCCAATGTTTCTTTTCATAAATTATGCATCAAAGATTTTTCTTCAACTTTTTTTAAGTGTCTGATTTTCAAACATGCAAAACAGGTTTCTTCCCCCTCCTCTTTAAAATATCCTTTTTATTCTCAAAAGACATTTCTTGGCCTTTAAAACAAGTGTTGAGAATAATGTTATTTGCCAAAAAATACATAAGCGGGTTTTATAACTTTAGTACCTGAAACTAGATCCTTAGCCGTTGGAACAGAAATTTTGTCATTTGTGTACTTTTGATTTTTATTTGAAATTTCATTTGATTTAAAACCAGTTTCAGATAAAGAAATTCGTTCTTCACCTTCAACTTCTGTTTGAAGAAACAACAATAACTGGGATAGATTATCACCATAAGAGTATTTTTCTTCTTTATTGATTGGATTATGTAACCAAACCCTTTAAATTTTTGGGAATGCATTATTCCACCAATGGGAATAATATGGCAGAATGTCTGTCGGTAGTGACGCAAATCGACTCTGAAGACCTCAGATGTGACTCCAATCTAACATACAGCTGCATAATATTCATCTTTGTTTTCACATTCTTAGCATCTTTTACTACCAATGATAGCAGTTTGCGACAATAATACTCAACAAGTAGCTTTTCCTAGCTAAACCTTGTTTTTAGGCTATCAGTGGCTTTTGCAGTTGGCCAATAGACACCTACAATTTCTAGAACCCTACTAGCAACTTTCAGGCATGACATGAGATACTGAAACGTATTTTCATAAGTATCGTCATGAATTCTACTGAACCGACTCCAAAATGTGAGCCAGTCTTTCACTTCCCTTCTAAATTTAACAAATTCTATTTTGAGGAGCTTTAATTTTTTTGCCGCTGTATTCATCACTAACAGTTCACAAAAATTTGAAAGTTTATAAAGACTTGCTTAGCATAAATACGAGCTAGATCTAATTTTTTCTCGTGTTCAACCTAAAAATCTTCAGATTTGGCATCTATTACAGCAATGCAAATTTTATCGTCTAATTCAGCCAAATTTGCAACAATTCGCTTTAAGGAAAAAAATTTAATTTAAATTTCCTCACAGTTAAAATCTGGTGCATTTAAAGATGCTATTAACAAACTGTAGTGCTTTGTGAATGCTGTTCTAACAGGTGTTCTTTTATTAATATTTTTATATTAAAGTTTTAAAGCAATAAAGTCAATTTAAACAAATTCACTTACCTCTATCTTTAAATATCACATTCATACAGCACCACAATATTGAGAATGGATAGATTACCAATCTGCTTTCTCCTTAGAATTTTATTACATACTTATTATTTTAAACAAACAAATTTGAACATAAACATCGATGCCAATCACATCAAGGAAATTATTTTGTTACACTTGTTGCCAAATTTGCTTTGTGGCTACCTAAAGGTGGAGTAATTACGGGATAAAAGTCAGATATGTTTACGTTTATATATACGGTTCAATTACATTTACTGAATTACAGTACTTACTGTTATACAGGGACTAGACCAAAATAATGCGAAGTTTAGTAACTTATGGCGACAAAAATTAATCACCCATACCATATCCAGCTAGACTATATCTCGCCAAAATAGACTTGCGCTTGTAACCTTATTTTTCTCGCAAGGCATCACCTCTCCAGACCCTTCATGCTACACCGCAAAAAAGGAAATCAAATTTCACTAAAATTATCCGCATATATACTAAATTTGTAATAAGCTCTTTATGGAATCATTAACATGTTTTATAATGAAATAAGCATTTTGCCCCATGAGGAATAGCCTATGAGTGGCCTGCATGTAGTCAATACCTTCATCTGCATAGTCCTAACAACTGCAATTTTGATACTGAGAGAGCAATTTAAAAATATATCAGCAAAGCATTACAAGCAGTTTTTATCAATAAACCTAAACATAACTGAATTTAATCAACAGGAAGCAATACCACTGAATGCCTTGAACTAAGATTTGTCATTTTGGAACTGTTTCTATCAAAGATCAATACAAACATTACTTTGAAAACAGGGTTTTTTTTTTTTTTTTTTTTTTTTTTTTTTTTTTTATAGTTTATACGGCAAAGGTACATGAAGTATAAAAAAGTCACTTAATCATAAGCACTTGGACAAAACGAATGCTGTTGAAACTTATTAAATTTAAAGCACTACACTAGAAAAATAAAGGAGAAGTATTAATGAAGAAAATCATTTATATGGATATAACTTGTTTATTACAATTTACATATGTTTTATAAAGTCTGCATTACAAAGTATATAGGCAAACAATATTGAATGAAATATTGAATGAATTTTTACCACAAAACCCATGGTGGGGGTTTCTGTTTCCTGTTGGGGCATGTAAGTCATATTTATTGGTATATTTATTATAGCTCTTGTAAGATTGTGCGTCTTCAGGCTTTTCTTTATCATGTACCTGCAAAAAAAAATTGTTGATTAAAATTGCAAAATGAAATGAAGTTTAAACTTCGTGATCACATGCTTATAATACAATGAATTTGTCATGCTTTGGAATAAAAAATATAATATTTAAGCTTTTTAGTTATTATGGAATGATGTCTGGAATAGTTAACAGCCTTATTTTTCCTCTCTACCAGCACTTAGATGATGCAAAGAAGCTGCTGCTCTCAAACAATTTCACAAAACTCTAGTTATTCTTCATTCGCTAATTAAAAAAGGTGGAGTATTTTTTTAGTTTTCTTGTTTAGAAGTCCTCATTGGTATTATCTGAATTTTTGCACCAACAACTTTGAGAAAAATTATATTGACTTCATTCCACATAAAAATTAGCTTCTGACAATACAAATTAAATATCATTATTAGCAATATCTTAAGTGATAATTTTAAAATTGGTAGTATTTTTATGGAAGGAAGGCACAAGTCAACAGCTCCCAGAAAAATATAATTCTGCCTTGGTGGAGCATGACATACTGTACTAGATGTCATCTCCCCTAACTGAAAACAAACTAACATCCAACAATAACTGTTAATGCTGAAAACAGTAATTTTTATTTTAGAATGTGTATTTTTGTGACAATATTGTTGCATGAGTATGGGTTTATAATGGATTGAATGCACATAGAACTGATAGCCCTAAAAAATTTATTTAAAAAAAATTACAGTTCTAGAACTTTCCATAAAAGTACTGAATGCACACAGAACTGATGATAACCCTAAAAAATTTATTTAAAAAAAAATTACAGTTCTAGAACTTTACACAAAAGTATTTGTACAACTCATGTCAGTATGATACAGCACAATCAGTAGTTACCACCTCAAACTACTAAGAACATTTGCATGGACATCTTTCAAGACTCTGAAATCTCAACTAAAAACTAATGCTCTCTGCAGGCTTATATAGTTTTCCCCTGGCCATTGAGAAATCTCTAGTACTTTCCATTTTCTCCAAATTAAAACCATCGCTATCTTGTTGATATCGCGTAAATTTAGTGAGATAGCCATTTACATCAATGTTAAATATACTTGCCCCCGTAACTTTATTTTTTTCGGAGGAATTATAAGCCGAATAAAATAAAAACATCTGCCCTGAAGATAAGGATAGTGCTGACAGATCAACTTCCAGTTCATTGCATGCAGCATCAGGAAAAGTTCATTGGAGGAAAAAACTTGCTGCTACAGGGCATGTCATGCACTGTGTTGCCATACCCACTGAAGTCAAAGGCACATATGATTCAGTGACAGGGGAATCATGTGTAGAGGAACACTTGCACACAGTTCATGCTGCAGCAGATGGCGATGAACCATGCAGCTAGACAACACAATACCTGTAGCTATGCTCCAATGTTGTACTACCACACGAGAAAACAATGTACGATCTTTCACAGCCATGCGGATCAGGTGTCTGTCATCGCATGCTGTTGGGCTACTGGCTGCCCCACTGCCAGGATTTTACCATGTTTGGTTTTCCTCTGTCCATTTCTTCCAAACACACATGCGACTGCTTGATCCATCCTCTCACATATCGACAATGTGGCCTCATTCGAACTCCATTAGTTGTTGGTATGGTACCCTCCCTCCGCTGTTGACAAGGCATACTGACCACTAATTAAATGTTCACTGCAGAGAGAGGACAATAAACAAATTTCAAACCAACTTTATAGTCCTTTATATATAGATGGCACAAGCCTGCTGTTCTCGTTTCATGCAAGCGCAATCACTTTGTAATTCTAATTGCTTGCATGTCTTACCTTACTCTCCTGAAAGTTTGATTCAATTTGCGTAATACCACACGTATTCCTTCATGGTAATGCAATTTTCACAAACATTAGTGTAATATCCAGAATCACCGAAGTCCCGATGAGTCCAGATCTCAGACTTCACACTATATTTTCCCTACTCATCACAGTACTATTTCTAACTTGTTTTGGTTCAGTCATTTATCTGCATATAAAAAACATTACATGATGGCGTTCAACTAAAAATGAATTCGGAGTCCAGATTTTGTTAACCCTCTGGTATTATCCCATCAATCATGAAAGTGTTGCCAAGCAGCATGATTTAGTGCCAATTATAGATAAGTGTGACATAACAACACACTAACATCTACATTTTTACTGCAGGTACTTAAGACAACAATAACATTTGTTTGAATGTACTTCTGATTGATTTTTGATAAACCACCTTTTGTTTTTACTAATAAGGATACAGATTAACTGTTAAAGCTATATTTTTTCTAGCATTTAGATAAAATGATTAAAAATCGAAAAGCCTGCCTTCTACATAACAGCAAGCAGTGGATTATTTTCAAAGTTATGGATTCCTAATATAAAAAAGTATATATTAACAGACACAACAAGTTCTTTATTAGAAAACAAATATAAAAATGGCAATGTAACATGGATTAGTATCACAAGAGAATATCCATTTCAAAAGGAACGTGGTTTGAAGGTTATAGAGTCACATTTGTGACTGAATTCCAGTTCATTTATAGCTGGTTGAGAAAACTGACATTGTTAAATGGGGGAAAAGAACAGCTATATATATGGCCAACATGACAGTAATAGGTTATTACAATTATCTGCTTTTTTTTTTAATAAAAGTTTGTACTCATAGCATCAAAAACAAAGAGACTAACAAAATAGTACAAATTGACAAAAATCTTTTCATGAAGGAAAAAATTTAAGAGCGTCAAATACTGATTGTAGGTCCACCAGTAACCGAGCAGTAAAGTCCCTGAACACTGGTAGTTCAATCCGAGGTTCGAATCCCGTGAAGTGCTGTCTGCATGGGCATTTTCCTGGTTTTCACCATGTGTAAGGGCCATCACCATGTGTAATATCACATCTGTAGACGCGCGCGCTTACCCTGGACAATTCCGAGAAACGAGATTCTAGTAGCATGCACTTGAGGATTGTTCCATTCTCTACCGACTGTCACGTATTTGTGCCAGTACTTTGCAACGTTTTTCAAGCTATAATTTCTGCCACAAGATGGCACTGTATGTCCATATGGTTTCAGATACACGTAAATTAGACCTTCTACTCGAAATGAGAGAAGCATGACTCACATACACGTGTTTTTGATTATATAAACAAACGGGGAAATAAATGTTTCCGAATGACGTGATTTATGACGTCTCTTTAAATCGCACTTTATTTGCACATGGTAGTTGTTTACTGTAAGTAGAGAAGTTTTATTTGCTCTAAAGCATTGGTTATTTCGGTTTGCAGTTCAGTTTTTAGAAAATAATTAGATCTTGTTAGACGTGAATTCTTTGTTTTTACCGTTGCAATGTCGAAGCGTCGAAAATGTTTAACAGAGCACGAAATAGCAGAAATGATGCAAAATATTTCAGATATTGATTCTGATATTGATTCTGAAAGATTAACTGAAAGACATTTTCCAAAACTTTGTTCAGAAGAGACTGATAAGAAAATGAGACAACGATGCTTCGTTTGTTCACATTCCCGGGAAAATCCTCCAAAACGGCAAATGACTTATTACGAGTGCAAGGAATGTAACGTAGGACTGTGTGTAGATCCCTGTTTCAAATTTTTCATACGAAAAGAGAATTTTAAGTAATATATTTAGTTTTCAGATGTATAATGTTAAAATTTATAAAATGGTGAGTAATTAAAATAAAATGTGTAAAATATGCATTTAAACAAGAAATAAGGTAATTAAAGTATATATATAAAAATATTTATAAAGCATAAGCCGTTTAAATACTCTATAGAGCATTATTAAACAATGCGTTGATACTTCGGAAATTTCATGGATTTAGGCTTAGTAGCAAAAAAGCCCCTGGCCCTGGAGAGACGCTCGTGTAAGACACTGCCGGACTCAGCGATAAGCGCGCGTTTTCGCTACCCAGCTCGAAGGGGTTAATGTGTTTTAGGTATATTACCGAGTGTTCTATGGGACAGTAAACAACTCGCACATGTTTGATTGCTCATGTATTCATATGCTTTATTTGATCTTCATTTTGCTAAATAGTATCTGCTGGCCGTGAGGAGGTAAATATCAGCCATATAGATTTTTGTCATAGAAGGTCTTTTTTTTTTTTTTTTTTTTTTGTCTGTTTGTTTGAATGGACAGAACAGTAATTATGAGCCAAAAGGTTAGTCAGAAAATGCTTTCACCAGGTCACAAATTTTCCAGTGAGCCATCAAATTTTCATTGAAATCCAGACAACAGAAAACACACATAAGCGATGTGTGATAAATAAGACTTATCCAGCACATATTTCTAAACTATTCTTAGTGTATACAGAATTTGGCTATTACTGCTGTAATTGATTGCTATAACCAGAAGTGTGTTTATCTGTTACATGAAGTGCCAGAGTGGAGATCAAAGTGATTAACTTGATAGCAATCACCTTTCTATTATCTTCCATTACTAATAATAAAGTTTAAAAACGAAAAGCATGTGAACGATACAAAACAACACGAAGAAGCGAATGTCACTTGAAAAGAAACGTCACTTTCGCCAATCTGAGCGATAACTGATTCTTGTTTGGCTTTCAGCCTGTTTACCAAGTGAAGATGGTAACCCTATTTCGCCAAAGGCCGTTTCTCAGAACTGTTGCTGCAAAGGTTTTGTTCGGGCAACAAACAGCTAATGTGATAACGCTTTGACAGATTAATAAATTCAGTTTCCCTCAGAAAATCTTCCATAAAGGCATACGGCAGGACACGTAAATAATAAAAGTAAATAAAATTGTTTATTAATAAAGAGGCATCAGAATTCTGCAAGAGCAATTCGCACAACTTTGGTCGGATCTCTGCCACATTTCATGGTTTGATAGTAGCCATCTTTGATGGTTGATGGGATAATAGGCAAGTGCCAATCTCAACAAGAATACATACTGGTTTAATTAGCTCAACCTGACTTTAATAACTATTATGCATTTTTTTTTCAAAACTTTTTTGTAGAGATAAAAAAAGGGCAACAGGT